TAATAAAATTAATAATAATAATAATAATTAATTTATAATATCGTTTTTATTATTATTATTATTATCATCATTATTATTAATTTTTTTTTTTTAAATAAGTTTATATTAACGCATTATATATAAAAAAAAGGAAAAAAAATTATTTATTTTATATATATATATATATTAATTAATTTATTTTTATTTTTAATTAATTAAAAAAAAAGAGTGAATTGAAATTATTTTATTTTATGTATATGTTTTATTATCATTATTATTATTAATTATTATCAATTATCATTATTATTATAATTGAATGCATATATAAAAAAAGTGAATGTACAAAATAATAATAATAATAATAATAATATCAATTTTTTTTTTTTTTTTGATGACGCGAAATTGTAACTTGAAATGAGTCATTTATTTTTATTATCATTATTATTATCGTTATTATTATTATTATTAAGTATTTCATAGACATGCGCAATGTCAAACGTTATACATTTATTATTATTATTATTATTTACCCCGAGAAAAAAATTTTTTTAAAATATATTATTGTAAATTAATCTATTTTCGTCAATTAAATGATTGATTGATTGATTTATTGATCGGTCGATCGATCGATTGGAAAACAAATAGAAAAAAAGGTCAAAAATTTAATTAATTTTTATTTTTCATTTTTATTTTTACTAATTAATTATTTATTTATTTATTAAATTAATATAAGAAGAATAAAATTAAAAATAATTTTTATTTATTTTAAATAATATTTAAATAAAAGCCCTTTTTTTTTGTTAAAAAACTTTTTTTTTTTTTTTTTATTAATAAATTTTTTATGTTAAAGCTTCATCGAGAGTAAATAATCGAAATTAATCGACAATAATCGAAATGTATCGAAAATAATCGAAAACTTTATCGAAATGTATCGTAAAATTTATTTTCCATTACTTTAATTATTATCATATTTATTATCATTATTGTATTATTTGATAATATAAACAACAATTTGACATAAATCAATCGACTTGTAAACGTATTGTAAGAGAAAGAAAAAGATAGAGTGAGAGTGTGAGAGAGAGAGAGAGAAACTTAATAATTTGAGCGCATCGATTTCTATATATATATATATAAAAATTCAACTTGTATGTGTGTGCGTGCGTGTATTCGTATATATATATATATATTTGTACGCACACACGCACAGACAAACGTGCGTTATTTTAATTTACATACATATTTCTAATTACATTATCATAATTTATGTATTAATAATAATAAATAAACAAATAAACCCACGTCAATTAATTATTATTAATCAAAAAAAAAAAAAAAAAAATAGAAAAAATCTATTAGTTTTATAAATAATAATATAAAAATTAATTAAATTTTTTTTTTCTTTTTTTTTTCTAGTTATACGTCATCGAAAAAACCTTTTGGTAATCTTCCGACTCGATCTCTCGTCTCGAAATCTCGATTGAATTGATTCCTTAGGGAATCATCCGATGGTTGTACGTAATAATCAAACTGATCGGAATCGCCTAATAAAACGGCTCTGGCGGAATCGGAGGAATCGTCTCTCCTGTCTGATCTCCCTCCTAAAATAGTAATAATAATAATAATGATAATAATAATTTCGAGTCGTCGTTCGTGACGTAATAACCGCAACACAAATACCGAACGATTCCATATTTTTTTTTAATTTAATTACTTATATAATTAATTCTGACCTGGTGTTTACCTCTATCAGAATCCTGTTGGTACCTGGAACGATTTCTCGCATTCGTATTATTACCGAGAAATCTTTCGTTGAATTCCCGTCGTCTCGTTTCGGTTTCTTCCATTCTCTGTCTTCTTCTTTTCTCTATAAATAATAATAATAATTATATTTATTTATTTTTTTTTTTTAAAGAAAACTAAAACGGACATTTTTTTTATATTTTTTATATAGAAAATAATGGTGACCTCTTTTGATGAGTTCTCTTCCTTCGTCTACGAGATCCGTCGTGAGTTCGTCATCACCCATGAATTGTTGAAATCCTAGAAAGGATAAAAATCTACTTCCGAGACTGAAATAAGTCGCGAAGCAAAAAAGAAGCATGAGCATTGGAAAATATATGTTGAAACCGTCGGATATTATGGATATTACATCCATGTGACCCATTATCTAAAATATTATTATCATTATTAAGAGAAAAACGACGAGGAATCCCCTTTTCCGAGGCGAATTGGGGAAAAAAATTCACCTGAGTGTATGATGTTTCCATGAATGGCGTTTTGATTATGTGATTGTCCATGTGTATCAATCCGAGAAAATTCAAACAGAGGGGAGGGGTCAAACGGCACAACATCATTCCGGAAAATATCAAACTGAATTCGTCCGTTTGATGATTGGGTGCTATGTAGTACTTGTTTAAAAATTTAATTTGTAATATCGTCGAATATGCGCAATAGCAAAGGTAAGCCATGAAACAAGTCGATAGTAATTCCATCGTGAGATAATCGTAATTTTCAATTGTCATGTTTAGAAAAACGGCAAAAAGAGAGAGAACGGGTTTCTCGTTGAAAAACGTCACTTCCGACCAAACGACCATGATCGAAAGGAGACCCGTTATGACGGAAAGAACTTTAAGCAACCACGAATGTAAAACGCATCTGTAGTACCATTCTGCAATGAATAACGTATACGTTTCATCGAATCCTTCGGGAATGAGATGGTAAGTACATTATTTCATTAAAAAGGAAGTTACCTATGGTAGGAGTCCAGAAAAAACTCACGAATTTATTTCTCTTAACCGGAAACGCGGATTTAAATCTCCTATCGTGACTTCCTTGATTTTTAGCTATATCTTCCAATAAGAAAATTTTATTAACTAAAATACCCCATTGTGCTTCGGTTCTGTGAAGCGTTTGTAAAGCTTTGATTATCTGAAAAAAAAAAAAAGGACAATAAATTAAAAACACGCGCACACACACACACAAGCAAAAACAAATTAAGTAAAAAAACATAATAATGATCGATGGTTTGGACGTACAAAGTTCACGTTTAAATTAACATAAATTTTTATTATTATTATTTTAAAAAAAAAAAAAAAAAGATAAGATAAATTACCCATAAAAAAAAAAAAAATTACAATAGGGCTTGTTTATATCCTTAATTGGATTTTTTTTTAATTAATATTATTATTATTATTATTATTATTTAGTGTAGTTTTATGTACCTGTTTATGTAACCTAATGAGAGTTTTTTCTGTCGGAATGTTGTTGGGATTTCCACTTTCTTGAAATTCTCTTTTCGATATTTTTTCCCTTAATTCTATTGGTATTTTACATAAAATTGCCTCTACTTGACGATAAAGTGGATATCCAGGTTTAACAATGCTAACTATGTTACCCAAACACTGTCGTTGAAAATAATAATAATAATTAGTAATGATAATAATAATTGATTAAAATATTTATGAGTGAGATTTGTTGTGAAAAAAATTTTACTTACTTCCAACAACTCGTTTACGTTTTCTTCTGCTTCACCTTTTTCAAGACTTAAAGCTGCCGCTTTGAAATATGAATATTCTAATGTGTAACCCTTTTTACTATTATTCCATAAAGTTCTCGGAACTTCTACTAAAGCATAACCCAAAAGTAAGACTAGTAAAAATAATCCCCAAGTGTTACTAGCAGAAGAAGCAATGGCTTTAAGTTTTTGCCTTTTTTTGTGGAAGAAAGTAAAAGAAATAATTAGGAATAAATTATAATAAAGCAAAATTAAGGAGATGTAATTTAATAGTACAAACCAGTCGAGTTGCATGTGTGGTTTTACAGCTAAATAAATCAATAATATTGCTGCTATGAAAAGGAATGATCCATAATATATTGCATTGTCTACTAGTGCACTTTTTAATTTTCCTCGAACTGTGAAATCGCCAGCTTGAGTATAAGATTGCATAAGGGGTAAAATAATCCTGTACAAAAAAAAAAAAGGTTTAATTAAATGATGTTGTAATTGATTTTTTCAAATTTGAATCTTTTCCCAAATTTTTATTTTTTAATTTAAATTAACATACCATGTTAAAAATTGTGAAGTCCAATAAACGATTCTCCACAAATTAGGAAATGTATTTGAAGGTACATTACTCCAGGGTTTATGAAACATCACATTAGGACTAGAACTGTGTTCAATACTGTTATTCGAATGAATTTCAGGAAAATCTGTTAAATTATTCTTTTGTTTATATTGTCTATAAACAGTCTGTAAAAAATATGAATTGATAAATATTAAATATTTTTAAAATTAATTATTTTACATCTATAATTGAGAATCGAATTAAAAGCAATGTATTATGGGTAAAGGGAAAATGTGTTTTTACTTACTGCTGATACATCCAGTGGAAGTATGAAAATGATTAAAAATGAAAAATACCAAGCCACTAAAACGGCTAATGTAACTACAATACGGTGCCTATACCAATTACCATAACGATATAATAAAGAAGATGCTATGAAAAAAGCTACCAAAACATCAGCTATAAAAGGTCCGAATGCCATTTTTAATAAATATATATATATATCTGACTTATGGTGAATTAATATATAAAAAATTATTTTTCACAAAATATTGTTATAGGGTAATAGTAGTAGTAGTAGTAGTAGTAGTTATACATATATATTTATTTTAGTTTTTTCTCTTCACGATTTTTAAATTTTTCTTCGGCTTCCTTTTGCATTTTTTCCAATTTTTCGAATGCAACGGTTTTCACTGGCATCAGAATAGGTTTACAAAGAACATATTGACTGACGTCTTCTTCGAATAAAAAACCCGTCGTAGGTAACGTAAATTTTAAATTGTCATTGTTTGCGGATGTCATTTCACGAATACAAAAACAATTTTTTAAACAAAACAATATTATATATATTTATTTCTTATTAGCCATATCTTTTGAAGACACCGAAACTAGAATAATATTTGAGCTTACGGATTGATGGGATTAGACTTTTCTGATTTAAATTTTAGACACGACGTGGCGCTACGGTTGATAAAGAACTTTCAAATCATCATAATTTTTATAAATTTAAAATAAAAAAAAAGAAGAAGAAGGTAATTTAATTTTTAAAATAATATTAGTAGTAGTAGGGAATAAATTCGAAAAGAAAAAAAAAAACTATAATTTTATTAATGAAACAAATTAAAATGTATTATTATCAATGACAGTTTATTGTATTGACTAGTTATGGATATGTTGTTATTATTAAGTAGTTGAAGTATAATTTGAATTGATTTATTGTTTTTGATCATTATTGATTAATTATTGTTTTTTTTTTTTATTAAATTTGTTAAAATTTATTATAAAAGTAATGATTGAAATTTTTTAAATATTTTTTTTCACCGCTATAAATGTATAATGAACTCTGTGAAAAAATCAAAGTTTTAAAAAAATTTTTTCTTTAACAAGGCGGTGACTACTAGTCACTTTGTAGGGCGTAAAGACTTATCAATATTTAATACTTGTCGATTTATTCTTTAACGTCAATAAGTTATATTTTAAAACCATCAAAATGATGAAATTTATAAAAAGGATATTAGATTGGTTGACAAGTTTATTTTGGAAAGAAGAAATGGAACTCACATTGGTAGGCCTACAATTTTCAGGAAAAACAACATTTGTCAATGTTATTGCTGTAAGTTCTTTTTTAAAAAAAAAAATTTTTTTTTTGTGTCAATTTTTTTTTTTTTTTTTTTTTTTACAAAAAAAAATTGATTTTAAATTTAATATGTATATATTTTTATGTAAAAAAAAAATTATTAATACGTGTATTAATTTTATATTTAAAAAATTTCAGTCTGGTCAATTTTCTGAAGATATGATACCCACAGTTGGTTTCAATATGAGAAAAATTGTTAAGGGAAATGTCACAATTAAAGTATGGGATATCGGTGGTCAACCTAGGTTTAGATCAATGTGGGAAAGATATTGCAGGGGTGTAAATGCTATCGTGTAAGTTTATAATTAATTATATATATATATATATATTACTTGATGACTAATTCATATGTTGATACAAGCTTGAGTTCAAAATACTTTTATTATCTGAAAATTAAGCATTTTCATTTCATAGGCCAAAAAACTTTTATTCTTTACCTTTTCTTTATTTTATTCAATTTATTATACAATAAATTAAATACAATTTAAAACAATTCTAATCCTCTATTATTATTACAAAAAAAAAATTTCAATTTATTTTATCATTATTATTTTTATTATTGATTTCGAGATCATTTAAAAATTCATGTCATTTTTTTATTATTAAATATTATTATCCATTCATAATAAAAGACAACAATGAAATAAAATAAAAAAATATATATATATCATATTTTTGTTTTTGAAAAAAGAAAAGAAAAGAAATGAAAATTCAAGTTTCATAAATTGACGATAAAAAAAACAAAATTTAATTGTTTTCATTTCATCGAAGCTATTTGTTTTTATTAAAGAATCAATTGTTTAGGTTTGTGCATAAACTTGTGTTAATTTCTTAGTAATGCCTAAACATGTTTTGTTTAACACTTTATACAATATTTATAAACAATATTTCTTTCTTTTAAAAAGAGTTGTTAAAAAAAAAAAAAAATGAGGTAACTGGTTTTTAATACCCTTTTCCCTTGATTGGTCTATTCGAAAGACATTAACCTTGATGAATTAATTGTTTAAAAACAAGAATAAATTATTATTAAAATAATATATATAAGTATTTATGACTTATGCACCCATATTTTTTTTTGCATTTTTTTAAATATTAAAAATAACAACAACCATATTTAATTTTTTTTTTTAATTTTAATTGTCGAGAAAATTTTATTTTGTATTAAATTTTTTTTTTTTTTTATTGTAAATTTTAATAATTTTTAATTAAAAATGTAATTAACACTTTTTTGCATTATTAATATGCATTAATTTGAAAAAACAATGACAACAAATTCTCAAATTTTAATTTTAACGATGAGTTATATATAATTTAAAAAATTTAAATTTTAAGTTTAAATCTACAAACATGACGTTTGATTATTATTATTATTATCATCATTTCATTTTTTTTTCTTTTTTAAACAAATAGGTACATGGTCGATGCAGCAGACTTAGGGAAAATAGAAGCTTCCAAAACAGAATTGCATAATTTATTGGAGAAACCACAGTTAGCTGGAGTTCCAGTTCTAGTCCTTGGCAACAAGCGTGATTTACCACAAGCTTTAGATGAATCTGCATTAATAGAAAGAATGTATGTTGGATGTTTTTCTCTTTTTTTTTTTTTTTTGCAAACAAAATTATTTTTAATTATTTCCTCCCCCCCCACAGGAATTTAAACGCTCTTCAAGATAGAGAAATTTGTTGTTATTTGATATCGTGTAAGGAAAAAGACAACATTGATCTCACACTTCAGTGGCTTATTGCTCATTCGAAGTCTGCAACTCACTAGTCCTTTTAAATATTAATATATATATATATATATACATACATGTAGATGTAAGAGCCAAAATGTGGAAGTGAATGTATGCATAATGCCAGGTTTGTATTTAATTTTATTACTTTTATTATTATTATTATTATTATTATTACTGCTATTATTATTATGGTCACTCTTAAACACGATAAAGCTCTTATTTGTTGAGGTTTTTAAGCATTTATCCCAGGTTTCTACCTGATTCCTTAGGGACAAACGCTTTATTACTATTATTATTACTATTATTATTACTATTATTATTACTATTATTATTATTATTATTATTATTAATATCATTACCATTTACTAAAATTCTAATTCTCAATGTGATTGGGATTTTCTTTTTTCTTTTTGGAAAATAATAAGAAATAGTGAAAAGTGAAAAAAAGGTAATAGGAAAGAAATGATTAGAATAATAATAATAATTATCATAAAATTTTTGTAAGTTACATAACGGAAGATAATAATAATAATAATAATAATAATAATAATAATAATAATAATAATAATAATAATAGTGAAGTGAAATTGTTTTATTTATTTATTTATTTGCATAAAAAGTAATTTGGAATTTTTTTCTATTTTTTTACGCAATGAAATCTTATTAAAAATCATTTGTTTTTACTACTACGAGGAGGAGGGAAAATTATTATTATTATTATTATTATTACTATTATCATTGTTATTATTTATTTATTTAGTTTTTGTTTTGTCGTTTCAGAAAGGAGTTCGTTTCGTGAGTCGATATATCCATATATACCCTGTACACTAATAACATATATAAAAAAAATTCTTCAACCGCATGTTTGTAAACATGACAACATGGAAAAAAAAATAATAATAATAATACAACTCGGGCGGTTAAACAAAAACAAAAACAATTAAAAAAAAGGTAGAATTAAATAAAATGTCAATAATGGGGGGAAAAAAAAATAATAATATTGTACATAGCGAAATATTTTACTTATACACACACACAAACGCACTCACGCATTTCATATGTACGTGTACGTTTCTATTATTACGTGCTTATGATATAATATATATGCATACTCCATCGTTGTAAATTATTATTATTATTATTATTATTATTATTAACAAAATTTAAGTAAGCTAAAGCGAAAAATAAAAAAAAATAAAAAAATAAACTGTTGCATAGGAATTTAGTGATAAATAATAATTAAAGATGCATCGTTTCTCTCTCTCTCTCTCTCTGTCTCTCTCTGTTTCATAGCAATCGTAACGAATTTATTATTACAATATATATATAGTACGAATTATCTTGCCGATTCGTTATT